TACATACTTTCAGAGTCAGAGACTATAACAAAGAAAGAAGTGAAAAGAGAAGCGATATAGTTGAGAGCTGCCAGAAGTGCGTATAATTCTGCCGTGAAAAACTAGCCATATATAGCAAGCATCTCGGAATCACACTATCCGGAAAACTATCGCGTATCCTACACCATCAGAGGATTTAGATCCATCGGTGTACGCAGCAGCAGCAGCAGCATGTGAGCCTAACTGAAAGTACTCACTGAAGAGATGAGAGATTTTGAAACGGGAATGCAGGAGGGACCTGTTCTAAGCATCGGTTCTTCCCAAGATGGAATGTCAATGAAATTATAACAATAGAGCGTAGATTGATGTAAGTAACTAGAGTTCGAAGATGGATAATAAAAAGAACTTAATAAGCATGAATGGCGATTGAAAGTGTGAGCTTTACTAGCGTCTGCGAGTCCATCTGGGAAAGGCTCATGCATTTACTAAAACAGACGACCCCAGGGCTAACAGAGTAACCAACAAAGAGTTAAGTGTCAACCACAGGGCCAAAAGAGTACTCTCCCTCTGATCCTGGCTCGGTCGTATACATCACCCAACCAGACAGTGGAAAGCGATGCAAGACCAACCCATTGATTTACTAGAGCTAGCAGTGGACCTCTTGCTCATTCCAGGGCCACAACTCTGCATGCTGACTGAATTTTCAAGGAAGCAGAAAAACAACAACCATAATACCAGCAGACTGCGTAAATAGACGAGTTTACCTCAGCAGCAGCAGCAGCATCACAGAAAATGCAGTATATGTACTTGGTTAGGGGACACTGTGTCATGGCTGTTAATACCGTATTATTAGCACTTACTTAACTTTTGTTTATCTGTGCACTGGCGCACCTGCTATGCAAATAGATATAATTAATGAGGGGGGGGGGGCGGTTGTGCTTTCAAATAAATGAGGACATTAGTTACTCGGAGTATTTCGAGTAGCCCAAGTTATTTGTGTGACTCCAGGATGCGACCCACAGTAGTCGACTAATGTCCAAGTGCCTACTTACTGCTAGGTGAACAGGGGCAGCAGGTTAAGGAAACATACCCAACGTTTCACCCGTGCCGGGGATAGATTCTAGGCCCTTAGTGTGTGAGATCAGGACGCTAGCTACCAAGCTGTGTGGTGATGGTGTGGGTGGTACTGTGGGTGGTGATGGTGTGGATGGTGATGGTGCTGTGGTGATGGTGCTGTGAGTGGTCATGGTGCTGTGGGTGGTGGTGTGAGTGATGGTGCTGTGGGTGGTGACGGTGGTGTGGGTGGTGATGGTGGTGTGGGTGTTGACAGTGATATGGGTGGTGACATTGATATAGGTGGTGACGGTATGTGGGTGGTGACAGTAGTGTGGGTGGTGATGGTGCTGTGGGTGGTGATGGTGCTGTGGGTGTAATGTTGTGGGTGATGACGGTGTTGTGGGTGGTGACAGTGGTGTGGGTGGTATGGTGCTGTGGGTGGTGATGGTACTGTGGGTGGTGATGGTGCTGTGGGTGGTAATGGTGCTGTGAGTGGTGATGGTGCTGTGGGTGATGATGGTGCTGTGGCTGGTAATGGTGTTGTGGGTGATGACGGTGTTGTGGGTGGTGATATGGTGTTTTATTCGTCAGGAGAAGGAGCATCTCCCGGGTTGGGCACACATAAATACAGTTATACAAATTTAGTTAATTACAGCTATCATGCATAATAACCCGTGTGTAAATTACCCAGGATAACCTAAAGAAAATATCAGACGAAGTGACATATTTCCACTGGGGTCCCTGTAATATCTTATTATTTAAAGCAGCTGTAAGATACAGTAGAAATCAGCCATTAAAAATCGGTTTTCAAAACCATTCATCACATCTGTCAGACACTGCAGCATCATGGGATCTTGATACAAAGAATTCTTCAACACTTGTCCAACCTTTGGACGAAGACAGATAAGATTAAGATTTCGTTCGGATTTTTAACCCCCGGAGGGTTAGCCACCCAGGATAACCCAAGAAAGTCAGTGCATCATCGAGGACTGTCTAACTTATTTCCATTGTGGTCCTTAATCTTGTCCCCCAGGATGCGACCCACACCAGTCGACTAACACCCAGGTACCTATTTGCTGCTAGGTGAACAGGACAACAGGTGAAAGGAAACGTGTCAAAATGTTTCCACCCGCCGGGAATCGAACCGGGCCCTCCGTGTGTGAAGCGGGAGCTTCAGCCACCAGGCCACCGGACCTACTTCGACTAGTGGATGGTACCACTATGACCCCACCTCCGCCTGCTTCACCTCACCTCACTACAGTATATAAGTCACGTCTACGGCTCTATGCTGAACATCCTACAAGATTGATGGAGTGAACACATCGACTCCAGGCTGAGGGACTGATTACCTCAAACTCCTCCTCTCCTTATAACTTCCTGTTTTGTATTGGACTGATGAAGCCACTGTGTGGCGAAACGTTTCTTCAATAAAGATTCCCATCTGTTGCGTCAGTGTCTCAGTTCTTAAACCGGTCGGTTTTCCAAACCATTCATCATATAAAAATCAGTATATATGAAGGTAAATAAGTTCAGCTCCATGACCATGAATTCTTCTCTAGGCTGAGGGACTGACCACCTCTAACACTGGTTGATGGACTGATTACGTTATCTTTATTTCACTGCTACTGCTGCCTTTGTATTTGACTGAAGAAGTCTACTGTGCAGGCGAAACGTCTGAACAATAAAGATACCCAACTGTTGCACATGTGTCTTAATCTTCAGCTTGTCAAACTTAGAATAACAAATAAAGACAAACCATGTGACTTATTAACAGTGTCTTGGTATTGTCGTTGGTTAGTTAATGGAGTTTAAAGGCTGTCGACTGCACGAGGGTCATTGATTATGGCTGAGCGTCACCTTTCTCAGCACCAGACAAGAGGATTAAAGCAAACTCTCAGTGTGTATATACACCGGGAGACATACAACTCTCAGTGTGGATATATACCGAAAGACATACAACTCTCAGTGTGTATATACACCAGGAGACATACAACTCTGTGTGTATATACACCGGGAGACATACAACTCTCAGTTTGTATATATACCGGGAGACATACAACTCTCAGTGTGTATATATACCGGGAGACATACAACTCTCAGTGTGTATATATACCAGGAGACATACAACTCTCAGCGTGTATGTATACCGGGAGACATACAACTCTCAGCGTGTATATACACTGGGAGACATACAACTCTCAGCGTGTATATACACTGGGAGACATACAACTCTCAGCGTGTATATACACCGGGAGACATACAACTCTCAGTGTATACATATCGTATACACTAATTTACACTAAAAAAAATATTTTAAAACATGAAAAAAACAGCAAAAAAAAACAAAAAAACAAAAAAACAAAAAAACGGGAAAAACTATATTATGATAAACCAGTGTAAAATAAACAGTTATTTTACGATTTTGTGGAAGATTTTTTTTAACGTCACAGTTAGACCAGAGTGTTGCCAAAATATTTATTTTTTTCTATGAAATATCTCAAAATAAATAAAGGTCGCCGCAGTGTGTCTGTTTTTGTCCCTTTAAGACGGAGAAATATGCATAGAATAAATTGTTTCTTTCTGGGGAGAAGAAAACATCTATCAGGCTTGGGGAGAAGAAAACATCTATCAGGCTTGGGTAGAAGAAAACATCTATCAGGCTTGGGGAGAAGAAAACATCTATCAGGCTTGGGGAGAAGAAAACATCTATCAGGCTTGGGTAGAAGAAAACATCTATCAGCTTGGGGAGAAGAAAACATCTATCAGGCTTGGGAGAAGAAAACATCTATCAGGCTTGGGGAGAAGAAAACATCTATCAGGCTTGGGTAGAAGAAAACATCTATCAGGCTTGGGGAGAAGAAAACACTATCAGGCTTGGGTAGAAGAAAACATCTATCAGGCTTGGGAGAAGAAAACATCTATCAGGCTTGGGAGAAGAAAAACATCTATCAGGCTTGGGAGAAGAAAACATCTATCAGGCTTGGGGAGAAGAAAACATCTATCAGGCTTGGGTAGAAGAAAACATCTATCAGGCTTGGGTAGAAGAAAACATCTATCAGGCTTGGGTAGAAGAAAACATCTATCAGGCTTGGGGAGAAGAAAACATCTATCAGGCTTGGGGAGAAGAAAACATCTATCAGGCTTGGGGAGAAGAAAACATCTATCAGGCTTGGGGAGAAAACATCTATCAGGCTTGGGGAGAAGAAAACATCTATCAGGCTTGGGTAGAAGAAAACATCTATCAGGCTTGGGGAGAAGAAAACATCTATCAGGCTTGGGTAGAAGAAAACATCTATCAGGCTTGGGGAGAAGGAAAACATCTATCAGGCTTGGGTAGAAGAAAACATCTATCAGGCTTGGGGAGAAGAAAACATCTATCAGGCTTGGGTAGAAGAAAACATCTATCAGCTTGGGTAGAAGAAAACATCTATCAGGCTTGGGGAGAAGAAAACATCTATCAGGCTTGGGGAGAAGAAAACATCTATCAGGCTTGGGGAGAAGAAAACATCTATCAGGCTTGGGGAGAAGAAAACATCTATCAGGCTTGGTAGAAGAAAACATCTATCAGGCTTGGGTAGAAGAAAACATCTATCAGGCTTGGGGAGAAGAAAACATCTATCAGGCTTGGGGAGAAGAAAACATCTATCAGGCTTGGGTAGAAGAAAACATCTATCAGGCTGGGGAAGAAGAAAACATCTATCAGGCTTGGGTAGAAGAAAACATCTATCAGGCTTGGGTAGAAGAAAACATCTATCAGGCTTGGGTAGAAGAAAACATCTATCAGGCTTGGGAGAAGAAAACATCTATCAGGCTTGGGAGAAGAAAACATCTATCAGGCTTGGGGAGAAGAAAACATCTATCAGGCTTGGGGAGAAGAAAACATCTATCAGGCTTGGGGAGAAGAAAACATCTATCAGGCTTGGGTAGAAGAAAACATCTATCAGGCTTGGGTAGAAGAAAACATCTATCAGGCTTGGGTAGAAGAAAACATCTATCAGGCTTGGGTAGAAGAAAACATCTATCAGGCTTGGGTAGAAGAAAACATCTATCAGGCTTGGGTAGACAGATTAAAAAAACAGGTTAATATAGGGAAAGAAGGAAATTTTGAATGAAGAAGGAAGGAAGAGAGTTGATAATGAAAGGGGTAAAGAAGGAAGGTTAGTGAAGGTTGAAGGTGTAACGTCACCTTCATGGAGATTGAAGGTGTCACGTCACCTTCATGGAGGTTGAAGGTGTAACGTCATCTTCATGGAGACTGAAGGTGTCACGTCACCTTCATGGAGGTTGAAGGTGTCACGTCACCTTCATGGAAATTGAAGGTGTCACGTCACCTTCATGGAGGTTGAAGGTGTCACGTCACCTTCATGGAGGTTGAAGGTGTCACGTCACCTTCATGGAGGTTGAAGGTGTAACGTCATCTTCATGGAGACTGAAGGTGTCACGTCACCTTCAGGAAGACTGAAGATGTCACGTCACCTTCATGAAGATTGAAGGTGTCACGTCCCCTTCATGAAGATTGAAGGTGTCACGTCACCTTCATGAAGATTGAAGATGTCACGTCACCTTCATGAAGATTGAAGGTGTCACGTCACCTTCATGAAGATTGAAGGTGTCACGTCACCTTCATGAAGACTGAAGGTGTCACGTCCCCTTCATGAAGATTGAAGGTGTCACGTCACCTTCATGAAGATTGAAGATGTCACGTCACCTTCATGAAGATTGAAGGTGTCACGTCACCTTCATGAAGATTGAAGGTGTCACGTCATCTTCATGGAGACTGAAGGTATCACGTCACCTTCATGGAGATTGAAGGTGTTACGTCACCTTCGAGGAGAATGAAGGTGTCATGTCACCTTTACGGTACCACTAGTGAAGGTGTCACGTCACCTTCACGTAGAGTGAAGGTGTCGCGTCACCTTCACGTAGAGTGAAGGTGTCACCTTCATGGGGGAAGGGTGAAAGTGACATACAACCAGCGAGATAGTCTCTACTCACAGCACTGATGACCCTTCACAGTTCAACCAGCTTAGCAATGGAAGTGCGAAACATCGTGGCGAAAGGTTCGAAACATCGTGGTGAAAAGTTCGAAACATCGTGGTGAAAGGTTCGAAACATCGTGGTGAAAGGTTCGAAACAACGTGGTGAAAGGTTCGAAACATCGTAATAAAGGTTTGAAATATCGTAATAAAGGTTCGAAATATCGTAATAAAGGTTCGAAACATCGTAATAAAAGTTCGAAATATCATACTTCCTATTGTGGGAAATACCTTAAGTTTTTCTACAAGGAAAAAAAATCACTGTGGACTACTAACCACATGGGCTAGTAATCACATGGACTAGTAACCACATGGACTAGTAACTACATGGACTAGTAACCACAAGGACTAGTAACCCCGTGGCCTAGTAGCCACGTAGACTAGTAACCACATGGACTAGTGAACACAAACTAGCAACACATGGACTAGCGACCACATAAACTAGTAACACCGTGGATATGTACCATTTAGACTGGTGTCTAACACAACATGGGTCAGTGGTCACATTTCTGTAACCTTGAAAAAATAGCCGAATTCGACAAATTACGGTCTAAAGAGGTGATATCTATAATCGACCTTTGGCCATAATATTTGATCAATGTAACCTGCAAGCTGTGACCAGTATGTATAATCTCTTCGTCTGCAGGTGTTATAGAGGTTATTATTAATGAAAATAAGTAATGTGGTACTGGGTTACAGAGGCTGTAACGACCCTGGGCGATGGAGAGATATGTAACTCACTGGGACCTTTGGTATTACAACTGCTAGGTACTAAAATGCTTCATGGAGGTGTATGTGTGTGTGTGTGTGTGATGCTACATACATAGGGAGGGTCTACCTGGTGGTCGTTGAGTGGGTCAGCGCTCCTTGACCAGCCTCCCGGTGTATCAGGGCCTGATCAGCCAGGGTGTTGCTGCCGGCCACAGCCCAGCTGATCGGGTACTGACTTTAGGTATCTGTCAAGTTCCCTCTTGAAGGCAGCCAGGGGTCTATTGGTTATTTACCATATGCATGGTGGGTGGCTGTTGAACAGTCTTGGGTCCTGGACACAATAAGTGTCCAGGACCCAAGACTGTGCACTCTTGGCGCCATTGCTTTTCATTGGGGTATGTTGCACCGTCTGCCTAGTCTTTTGCTTTCGTTGGAAGTGATTTGTGTGTGCAGATTTGGGACCAGTCCCTCTAGGGATTTTCCACGTGTAGATTATGACTGGTCTCTCTCGCCTGCGTTGTAACAGTAGGACTTCTAAATTATATTACCTTACGTAATTAATATTTCTATTTATATTATATCAACATATTTTGTTGTCACTGGAAGCTGGGATGACAATATCAAGTTGTAATAATATAAATACTTCAATGTCTTTACTGTGTATGACAAGAATAAGCAACACGGGTTCGATGCTTCATATTAATTTATATAAATTTGTAACTAAGAGGCTTAATGTAGTGTAGGGGTGTGAGGAGACACAGGGATCTGGATAAGGGACCATGTAAGAAGGTATAGAAGGTGGAAAGGACTTGGGTAATGGGTAGATGGTAAAGTATGTGAGGTATTGGTGGAGGAGAACAGGGTGTTGGTTGGCAGTGGGCAGGGCAGGTGTGGGGAAGGTATGAGCTCTCCACGCCAGGGTTAATACCTTTGTAAAACTTAATAAAAGTAAAGAAAAATATACTTTTATCTTACATGATACAATAGACAAGAAATGATTTTGTCATGTCAAACTCAAAATATACAGACCAATTCTATATACATCTATTAGTTAATAAAGATACGAATACACCAAATAAATACAAGATCTGCTACTTGTGAGATTCGAGAAGTGGTAGTGAAGTAGAGGTGAAGGTGAGAGTGTTAGCGAGTTTCACCGGACTGGCCGGCACGTCGAGAGGTACATCACGCGGACACGTGAGCACTGAGGTAATGAAGCGGGGCCCGGCTGCTAGCCTCACCGCGGCCGCTGCCCCGTCCCCTACTGCAGCTGGCGTCCAGGACCTCTGCTGTAACCAGCGTCCATGGCCTCAGCAGCAGCCGGCATTCATGGCTTCTGTAGCAGCCAGTGTCTAGGACCTCTTCTGCAGCCGGCATCCAGGACCTCTGCTGCAGCCGGCGTCCAAGGCCCCTGCTGCAGCCGCCGTCCAGGGCCCCTACTGCAGACGGCATCCTAAACCTCTACTGCAGGTGGTGCCCTGGACCTATGCTGCTGCGGGTGCCCTCACGCCACCTGCTCTTGACACAAGCTCTGCTATGTCTGCTCTTGTGTAGCTCCAGTTGCTGCCGCCCCTGTAGCTGCAGCCGGGTCAGTACTCTTAATGCAATACACTTAGTGTAGGTCTCATTTGGTTGATTTTCCATCACTACCTTTGTTTTTCATATATTTTTAAATGATGTCTCTTTTTTCCCAATACTCAGAGTATTGGTATAGAAACCACGAGTGTTAAGACCAGAATGTAAACAAGGGGCACTGGAGGGAGCGAGACAGTGCCGAGATTCTCATAAGAATATCCTGCGGGGCCAAGCACTGGCTGTGGCCCGGTCTATCTCGGCCTCATCTCTTCCTCTTTCTCTTTTTATTTCTACGCTTGACACTGACCTGACATGCGCAACCAGTCTTCACCTCAACATTGTTCATCTTCCACTCCTCATCAGATTGGTAGGTGCGTGAGAGTGCCTGTGAGTACGAATACTGTTGTACACACCTTGTGACAGTGCCCTTTCGCAGAGCCTTAACAGGAAAGATACACTCCTTACCCAAGTACTCGTCTAAACACACACGCTCGTAAAAGTGCTGGTGATTCGCATGTATCTCCATGGCGTGGTTATCGTCGGCTTTGCCTACTATTTTCTTTACAATGACCGATTTTGAGGGACAGCAGTCTATATATTTTTCACCACCCTCCCCATAAACCGTTATCACATCTTGATCTATCATATTTTCCACTTTCGGATCGAATTTAGCCCTTTTCTTTTTCTTTTTATTTCTCTTTGACTTTTTCTCCTCTCTTTTTCTTTGCCGCTCCTGTCTTTGTTCCTGCCTTCTCCTTCTTCGGTCTCTATTTCTCACTTCTCTGGATGTAAGAGGCGTTTGTCGCTTGTCTCTCATCTGCTCCACCAGCTCTGCTACAAACAGCTGCTGTTCCATTGCTCGCGTCACCTGTTTATCGTCCACCTCTTCTATGATTTCTTCTATCTTTGTTACCTCCTGCCGATGGTTATCCACCACCTCCTTGAGTTCGGGATAGACTTCAGCGTACGCTTGAATTTCAGCAAAGGATGGTCTCTCCCTTATGAGTTGGGAGGGAGTACGGTTCACGGAATGCTGCAAGTGTGGCTCCCGGGGCTGGCTGTTCAGGTGGTCACGCTTGTGGCGGAAAGGTTGAGACGTTTGAGTGGTGCCCACCAGGTGGTGATAATCGGTGGTGGCCAGGTGGTGGTTGGTGGTGGTGGCCAGGTGGTGATTGGTGGTGGTGTCCAGGTGGTGGTTGGTGGTGGTGGCCAGGTGGTGATCAACGCGAGCCAGCAGCTCTTCGGCCAAATTCTCAAGCTCTGACACTTTGATCCCCCGTTCAACCAGTCGCTCCAGTATTCTGAAACACGAGAGATAATTTGAGAAAAAATGTACAAGGCAATACCAAAATTCACAAAGAAATGTACAAAGTCATGGTCAAAATATGCAATAAAAACTTCCTAATGTATATAAACTGATTGTAGTGGATGACATACAGAATATTTTACACCTAAACGTTTCGCTCTAAATAGGTCTTAATCAAGTCTAATTACAAACAACAAAACTCTACTCTGTCATGTCACCATGAAAACATGTTTGGCTTACGTCTTTTATTCCGGATATCCAGTCGACATTTCGCCCTCTTATCCACTAGATTATGTCTGTAGTTATTGTAAATATATATGTGCTTTCTACAATATTTATTGCTTGTTTCTACTTCTCTCTCTAATAAAATGCATTACTTTTCTTACTATTATGTTTACTAAGGAAATCTATTATCGGATGTTCACTTTTCAATAGATTTTCGCATTTATTTCCGACTACACAAGATGATATTAACATTAAAGGCATCTTAATAATGATTCCAGGTTTCAATGTCTCGCAAAGGCAACTGAATTAGTCGTGGGGTTGAACCCTGAGGCAGGCCAGGGTTCGACCCCACGACACATTGTCCCGCCTCAAGAGACAACACAACGTTTATGTCATCTTTCTCTCTTGGGGCGGGACAGTGTGTCGTGGGTCGAACCCTGGCCTGCCGCACTTTGGAAAGCGATTCAAAACCACTCGTTTCGTGGTTTCATTGTTATATAAACTACTTGTGAAGGCGGGTATTCAAACAGGAAGAGGCTGAAATTAATCCTTGAGCATACCACTGCCACGAGTGTCCTCGGATCACGAAAAACACCTAGCTCTGTTGGGTGCGTGACCTTTGTAGGATCCATGGCTGAGTGAATAAGGTGACATGTACTTTGTGTTGTCTCTTAAGGCGGGACACTGTGTCGTGGGGTCGAACCCTGGCCTGCCGCAGTTTGGTAAATGATTCAAAGCTACTTGTTTCGTGGTTTCATTGATATATATGTTGTGCCGAATAGGTAAAACTGGTCAGTTAGCGACAACTCACTTAAAATTAAGTCGTTTCTAAATTTTTTGTTATATGTTTAAGGATATATTTTTTTCATTTATTATTTATTATTATTAAAGATTCGCCGGTA